CCTGCTGAAAAGTAAGGAAACAAACGTCCAGTCGTCTGGAGAAACTGTGTCTTCACTGTTGTGAAGTACAGATTATTTTCTGACCGTGTTCAGAAGAATTCACATCATTATTACATCAGATTTTTTTTTTTAACTATTTTTTATATTATATTAATTACATGTGCTCCCTGTCACTGCATTTCGATGCGATTTTTAATGTGAATGCTGTTTCTTTCATTTACCTCCAGGAAAACTTTTTTTGTTAATATGTTTCAGGATTTTTGAAGAGATTTGCATCAGACAACTGAACAGCAACAACAACAATGTGGTAGAGTAGAAAAGAAAAACAACCCTAGCACTGAACTGTGTCTGTGAACTGGACAGGAGTGAAACTCTTTAAAGATGAGTTCTTTAAAGAAGGTTTGTGTCTGTGAACTGGACAGGAGTGAAATTCTTTAAAGATGAAGGTTCACAAGCACAATTTGTTTAAATCACTGAGAGTCATCTGGGAAATCTCTTATTTAATTCAAATCTCTATGCAACAAAAACAAAACAACATTTCACTTCTGTGTTCTGTAATAACTGTTTTGTATAGAATGACGTTAGTAATCTCTTATTTAATTCAAATCTCTATGTTAAAAAAATACCACATTTCAGTTCTGTGTTCATTCAGATTATTTCATTGTATCCTGTCTAATAACTGTTTTGTATAGAACGACGTTAGTTATTTAAAAAAAAATCCTCTAAAAAAAAATCTCTTCTCTGTGTTTGTGGCTCCTTCAGTCATTAGCCATTATGTGTGTGTGAGTGTGTGTGAACACACTTTACACATTCATGTCACTGTCATCGACACGCAGCCGTCCGTCCTTTGGCAGTTGGACCGAGTGCAGCCCAGCAGAGACACAAGGATGAGTCAGGGAGACCAACTGTCCTCCGCAGCCTTGGCAGAGCTGAGCTGACACACATGCATGTGAAGCTGACTAAAGCAGACCTTCCTCTCAGCTGTGTGTGTGTACAGGTTCCTGTTGTACCTGTACTTGTGAGGACTTTGATTTTAAAGTGTTACTGTGGGGACATTGTGTCTTTTTGGGGACATTTTGCAGGTCCATGTTGAGTGAGAGTGCATTTTGAGGAGTTAGGATTAGAATTGGGTCAAGATTGAGATTAGACATATCTTTGTAACAGGGTTAGGATAAGGAGATAATGTATTATGTCTGTGTGAAGTGATGACTTGACAGAACACACACTCTCTGTGTGTGTGTGTGTAGACAGTAATCTTGCTCATGTTCTTTACAAGAATACCAAATCTAATTTATTTTTTATTAATTCTCACAAATGATGTTTAAATAAGTTACACAAACTTTTTTAATCTGCTTTTATTCATTTTTAATTCTTTACTGCTTCATTCTTTCCAGGGCAGCTGGAGCCAACGCCTGCACTCACAGAGCCAGGACTGGGTCACAGCCATCGTACAGTATGGAGACAAACAACCGTCCACACTCACATTCATCATTATTTGTTATGGGTTTTTTTTTTCTTTTCTTTATCCTGTCTGTCCATTCTCTGTGTGCCAAATTCTACAGCCAACGCTATTTTTTACTTCCCTTATTGACATCAGATAAAGTGAAAAAAAACTGTAACAGTTAATTTATCAAACTAAATATAAATATCCAGTATGATAAATGTAATTATATTTAACTTTTTTTTTTTTAGATGAATGTTTGACTCTTGTCTGTGCGTGCTGCGGTGTAATTGGGACAAAGAGCACGTGCAACTCGCGTGTCGTCACGTGACGCGCTATTGTGATTCACACTGAGTGTGACCCGGGTGTGTGTGTGTGTGTGTGTGTGTGTGTGTGTGTGTGTGCAGTCAACCAGAGCTTTCATGTAGGAATCCGAAAAAGCCAATTAGGAGATTCTCATGAGGATCAGTGGTCAGCACGTGATCACCATGACTCTGCGCCCAACACACACACACATATTGTTTTATATATAGATAAATATATATATATATATATAGTTTATATGTATGTGCACATATGTATATTTACATGACCTAGTATATATTTAGATAGACCTTTAGTTTTTTGGTGTGAATGTTTCTGGTCTTTTTTCAGGTCTCATTAAAGATGTATATTTAAATATCTTGGCGTGTTCGTCCACCCATCCATCCAACCATCCAACCTGCTGTCCGTCCATGTGTGTTTGAATTGCTGATAAACCTGACCGAGAGATCGATTTTTTTGACAGGTACATTTTACAGCTGGTGACATTTTTCTTCCCAAACTCCCAAACAAGGTTAAGTTAAAATATATACTGCATCATATTTCATAATGTGTGTGATTTAAATCACTAAAACATTCTATAAAAAAAAAACGTCTTCCAAGGTTGGACAAATGTTCACATTCTAAGTTTTATTGCTGTCTATTTTTAACCAGAACCTTGACGGTGACATTCTGGTTTATTGGCATGGATGGATGGATGGAGAGCCGTGGCCTCACTCTCTCCTCTTCAAACAGCTCTGTCAGCTGAGGTCAGTTGTCATCTCTTATCTCCCTGTGACTCAGGCACTGCTGTTTAGGTCCAGATCATCTCCATCTGTGATACAAGTGTCTCATATTGTCTCACGTCCTTTCGTTCACACCTGAGCTCATCTCTCCATCTTCGTTTGTCCAGTCAAATTAACCCTGATTATCAGCCTTTGAAGGAGCCGTGAAGAAGTGGAAGGTTACGTTTCACTTCACTGCAGGCGACGAAGAAAAGCCGGAAGGTTACGTTTCACTTCACTGCAGGTGACGAAGAAACTGAGAACGTGATCATAATGTGTCCATTAATGCAGCTTCACCAACATCTTTCAATCGTCTCACAGACACACGTGTGTCATCCAGGGCCTAACCAGATTTCCCTCCTTTAAATCCTTTAAGTACTAATCTGTATCTGAGCGCAGGGAGAAGAGAGGAGTGAAGTCAGTCTGGAGGATGAAAAGAGAAAAACAGACAGAGTTAGAATCCGACACGACCGACGCTCGTCTGCTCCTCTGAGGGGCCAGGGAGATAAAAAAGGCAGATTGTTTTGTTTTTCTTTGTTGTTCTCACACTTTTGTTCTAGAAGGCTCCGAGATATTGTGCGATAACGGTGGGGACCATCTGGAGGTTTATCAGGATTTCATCATCTAAGTCTCTGGCCAACTGTGGCTGCAGGCCCGGGTAAGAGGAGGAGTGAGAGATGATGCTGCTGAAATAACTCTGAAATAAACACTTGTTATTAATATGGACTTATTTAGACGTATTCTGTGAAAAAGTGAAACCTAAGATTAGAAAACACTTGTTATTAATATGGACTTATTCTGTGAAAAAGTGAAACTTAAGATTAGAACCTAAGATTAGAAAAAAAAATCATTGGACAGACATTAGTATCGAGAGCTAACAGCAGTTTATAAAGTAGGTTTTTTTTGTCAGTTGGTCCTTGACATGTGGCTCAGGGCTGTTTGGTAAAGATGGAGGCCACAGCCCTGTGTTTAACATGTCATCAGTTTGTACATGTTTGCAGTTGTACTTCTCTAGAAGCCCAGGCCTGACTGTGAAGCTTTTTTTAAAGAGTAGTTGGGGGGGGGTTAGTGGTCTGTACTGTAGCAGCTGTTTGACAAGGTGACTCCAAGGAATTGTAGCTCCTCAACCGTCTCCACTCTGCTCCATGAATGTGAGGTTCTCTGGGAGGACTGTAACTTTAAATATTCATGGCGTCATTGTGATATATTCACTTTTATTTGTCACAGTTTGACTCTTGCTCATCTTTGTGTGAGGCTTTGTGTGACACTTGTCTTTGTTCTTCCTCCCGGTTCACTGCAGAGCTGCATGTCGGAGCAACAAAGGATGAGACAAGAAGGAAAGTTCTGTACCGATAAATCGTACCAGTGAAGGTGTGATCGGTTCGTCCTGTAGCGAGCGCTCAGGTTCATCATCGTCATGGAGGCAGTGGTGAGAGTGAAGAGGTCTCTGAGGAGGCCCATCAGGAAGCTGACCTGCTGCGTGTCAGGGGTGAAGGAGCGGAGGTTGTGCGCTAAGCCTAGATACAAAAAAAGAGGAGGAGGAGGAGAAAAAGGAGCGAGAGGTGGAGGAGTCAGGGAAACAGGAAGGAACTCTCAACTCAGGGCTACGTCTCCCAGAGATCCATCTGCCATCCACTCGTACCGCGCTGACCTGGAGAAGGAGAGGCAAGTGCTTCATCACGTTATAACAAAAATTCCAGGTTGTATTCAGATGACTGCTGGTTCAAATCCTGGCCCTTGGCCGAGCCGGTGTGTTGAGCTAACACACTCTTATCCATTTGTAAGAAATCACAATAATAACCTACTGTACAAATGCTTTCTTTTGTGTCAAACTCAAACTTTCCTGTCATAGAAAGAATAGAGGTCGCCAGAGCAGGTGCTGTTTGCAGACAGATGTGATTTTATGTTGTGACATAATTGGATTCTGTCTCTAGCGCAGGTGTATTGATATGTGTGTGTGTTCTCTGTGTTCCCAGGAAGCAGCGGGAGGCGATGAATGCTCAGAAGAATGCAGAGAGAGCGGCACTGAGAGCTCATTTCAGGAGAAAATACCAACTGTCTGAGGTTCGTTTGGAACACAGCAAAAACATGTTCAATTTTTAACTTAAATGGATGGCTGTAACCCCCACTTTGGGAACCACTCATTAAGCCTATGCTAATCCTACAGCCCTCACTCCCCTAATTGGCCGTGGGTTTTTACAGTAGCTGGAAAACTTCCTGACAGTTCATTCCAGTCACCGACTTCATTAAATGTCCACTGGCTGCTGGCAACACAGAATATCTCACAACCCCGTCTCCCTCGACACTCTTCTGTAAGGCTAATCATAATGTTGTTGTTCATAAAAACATACGCTGACAGTTTTAAATATCTATCCTAACTCGCCAATTTAGAATTCACACCCATCTTAAATGGTTTTACCCACCAAAAAAAAACCAAAAAAAACTCTAAGGGGTTAGAATTAATTTCATGTTTTTATGTAATTTCTATACATGAACAGATTTGACCTATATGCAGGAAGTTAGGGTCTAATATTAAATTTAAATTTAAAATAAATCACTGGAACCTGTCTAGATTAGAAACTGCTCTAGCCTCACTTTTGCTAAGGGAACTACTTTTTTTCCACTGAATTCATAGTAAAATGTCTAAATATTACATCTTAATCTTTTATTCTCCCCAAGAATAAAAAGATTTATAAAGATTAAAGATTTATAGACAATGTGAGTGTCTCGTAAACAAATGGAGAAACACATGAAATACATTATATATATATATAAATGTATATATACGAACCTAAGGGGTGTTTGAAGACCACCAGTGGTCTACAAACCACTCTTTAAGAAGGGATCAGCCAGTCTGTATTAGCATGTTGAGTGTGTGTGTGTGTGTGTGTACATGGGTATTCATGCTCACCCGGAGAATGAAGAGCCCAGCCTTTCATCCTTAACCTCTTCATGTTTTTCCACCACCAAGGACCCAAAGGACATAAACCACCTGAGGTCCGTTGAAGGGAAAGTGTCGCTCCCCCATCAGCTGTCAAAGATTATTTACCCTGAAGCTAAAACCAAGGATGAAGGCTTCCAGCTGCTGAGGGCATTCCAAGGCCTCAGTTTGGACTCAGTGCTGCTCACAGGCAGGTGCAAACCCAGCAGGACGTCCACTGCTGCAGCAGCAGCCGGTGGGGACTCGTGTAGAGTCATGTAACTGATAAATAATCAGGGCGTGATCAGTTTTCTGCCCGTGGCACCAGATAATTGTCACACTAACACAGCAGAGAGACACAGCAGGGAGACGTAGACTCCTTCACCAGGGTCGTAGCTCAAACACGCAGCGACACATCACAGGGAATAAAGTCAATCATACCGACAGAAAACACACCTTTATACAAGTGTTGATTAAAGTGACAATAATTAATAGTTAAAAATATGACATGTATGTGTACTTTATATTTTTTGATATTATTATTTATATTAATTTTGAATTAATTGCGTGAATGTAGTTTATTCTAAATTGCATTGCATCTTTGCAAAAAAATCATAATTTTATCTTTTAAAAAATTACCTTTAAAATATTGTTCACGTTTTAAACATGTTTTATTAATATGGGAGTTTACACACATTAGATTTATTGAAATATCTAATCTTTATTGGCATTACACCAATCCAAACTAAGGACAAATATGATCCAGAATGTTCTCTGATGAGGTAATATATACAAGAATATTGCAGTAGTTGTCAAATTGTGTCAAAAAATTCCCAGTAATGCTTTGCGCAATGGTATTCATATCGCATTAATAGTTTGAACCGTTCTTTTCTTGTTTTCCTTTGGTTGATATTATTAAGCCGTATACAGCCTAATAAAAGGGCACTTCTTTATTGAGATTTAGTTTAGTGAGTTTTCGCTGTATTAACGTACTACGACTGCTCGTCGTAGTACGTACGAAGGTACGTTCGTGAAACGCTAATTTAAAAAAAAACAAAACAACCGTTGGTGTTGATTGACGTTAACCAGGTACAACTGATTTAACTTCGACAGACCAGAAATTGCCGCTAAGTCAATAAATAATGTGAGTTTTTGTTCAGTTGTCAGGTGACCTTAAACAGTGGTTAATATTATTTTAGAACGTGTGGAAATTAAGTAGTTGTCAGAAAATAGAAGCTAGTCTCAGAGAGGTGTTGTAGCTGTTTGAGTCACATCGATCCAAATGTGATCTATGTTTACACAGGTGAGGAACCTCAGGGAAACACACACACTCCTACTTTACTCAGGTGTGTTGTTTATTAAATGAATGTAGCTGATAAAATGAATTCATAGTTTAAACTACAAAACAAAACCTATTTTTATCTTATCTTAAGTCTGACTTGGCACAGTTTTGTTTGAGTCTTGCTAGTGTTTATAGGTGTGTATATTTGTACTCACTGTTTTTTTTACATTGTCAGATATCATTACTTGGTTTTAGACCATTATCAGTAAAATGTATTTTCCAAACAGTTGGTCACAGTTGGATTTTTTATTTTTTTATTTATCCATCCAGTCTTTCTCTACACCTTAGTCCATCGAAGAGAGACATAAAAAGACAAACGAACATTTGTACTTTAATAATATTTATTTATTTATTCATCAGTTTTTATGTTTCTCTTACATAAATTAGTTTCCATGTGTTTATTTTTCACTATATATGTGTGGACAAATGAGTAGATAAAGAATGTTACAAAGTGGTGTTAAAGAGTTTTATGTATATTTTTATAAAGATGAGTTGGAAAAAAATATTTCAACATTAATAAAGTTAAATTTTATGGATTGGAATTTTTATATTTGCTTCCCAGACAGTTTGACGATGGGCTAATGACAGTTTATAGTGTTGTTTGTAATAGTTAGGATTAAACGGGAAGTGTTTAGTGTGTGTGTGTGAATGAGGTGATCAGTCTAATGTTGTTCTTCTCTTGACCTTTGACACTAACACCCATAAATCATAGCCTCCTATCAGTCGATTGGACTGCTAGAACAGATCCAAGGATACCAGGAGGAAAACTAATGAGTTCCCCGGAGACAGAACTGACTCTGCTGGTCGTCGCAGCTCTGCAGGAGACCGATGGTCACATCTCCTCTGCACCATGAGGAGTGTGTCCAGTCGAACTCATGCCACCTGTGGCTCCAGAAAAGCTTTTTGTTAGGTTCAAATAAAAAGTCTTTGTGTCTTATTAAAGCAGGAGCCGTAGAGAAGGAGAAGTTAGAGGAGGCGAAGGGAGTTCACGATGCCGGAGCCAGAAGCAGAAGAGATGTGGACGGCTGTGTGAAGAGCTTCGAGAAGATCCCTCACACAGGAAGAAACGGCTGGCTCAACCTGGTCCGCTTCTGGAGAAAGGATTATTTCAGTCAACTCCACAAACACCAGGAGAGGACCTTCAGAGATCTGGGCCCCATCTACAGGTAGAAGACCAGGAGGTGGAGGAGGAGGAGGAGGAGGTGGATGGAGGCTTGTACAGTTGAATTTAAACATATTTCTTTGTTTGTATAAAGGGAGCACGTGGGCTCACACAAGAGCGTGAACATCATGATGCCGGTGGACATTGGTGAATTGTTCCGAGCCGAGGGTCTGCATCCCCAACGAATGACCCTGCAGCCGTGGGCTACACATCGTGAGACACGGAAACACAGCAAGGGAGTCTTCCTCAAGTCAGTACCGAGTCTGTCTTTACCCCAGGGGGTTTATACCATGCATACTTCTTTAGATGTATCTTTAGATTCAACTAAAATTCTTCAAACTGACCCTGTGGTCACATCAGACAGTAACTTAGTCACTAAAACTGGGTTAAATAAGGTAAAAAATAAATGTGAACTTCGTTAACATCGTTAACGTGGTCAGCTGACCAGAAAGTGAGCTCTTATGTCCATCCATGTTTAAATAAACAAATGAACTTAATGATGTTTGTTAATCAGTAAAAACAAAGACGTTCTAAGACCGAACGTTTCGACTTTTGCTCTTGTGTCGTGGCCTGTTTAGTTTGTGACTTATTTTAGTGCGCTCCACTTCCCCGTGCATCACAGTGATTGAGTGCGAATGAAACGGGTCGATTTAAGCACCTCGCTCTATTTTCTCCTCTCCGCAGGAATGGCGAGGAGTGGAGAGCTGACCGTCTACTCCTCAACAAGGAGGTGATGATGAGTGCTGCCGTGAAGCGTTTTCTTCCACTCCTTGATGAGGTGGCAAAGGATTTCTGTCAAATGCTTCAGGCCAGAGTGGACAGGGAGGGACGAGGGAAGGAGGGAAAACGCAGCCTGACCATTGATCCGAGTCCTGATCTTTTCCGCTTTGCGCTTGAAGGTCAGAGTTCATCCTCCCCACTGATTTGGGTTTGTTTTTTTTTAATTTGGCCACAAAACTGAACTCCTTTCGTCAGTGTGAAGAAGTAGAAGGAGACGAGTTCATGAGTTCATGTTAAAACCTATGATTTTAACCTTTTCTGACCTTGATGTTCTCAGGAAGGGGAACGTGACGATTAAAGCCCCTCCCTCTTTTCACATCCATTCTGCCTCAGTAAACGCTGACGCAGGCTGTGACGCCTTCTTACATCACAGTTACACCATTTTCTTTTTCAACAAACTCAGGGAAACCATCCTCATCCTAACCTCTCCTAAATTCTCCCTGCATCTGTTTCCGACTGGTTTTGACTCAGAAATGCTCCCACCTCTGTGTGTATCCAAGGGCACGTCTGATGTTAATGTAGAACAGAGGAACAGAGACCTTTATAAATAGTTGCGGCCGCAGAGATGACCCGAGCGGCTGCGTTCCTGCTGCAGCTCCGCTCCTTTCATCTGCCTTCCGGCAACATGTCACATCTACAAGTGCAAATGCAAACACAGGTTTGTGTGTATGTGAGGGTGAAGTGGTGAGACTTGATGACTTGGAGTTATGCTGGTCTTCTGTGAGTGGACCAGAGCACACACACACACACACACACGCACACACACACACACAGCCAGGTGCTAAGCCTGGATAGGAATAGACCTGCAAGAAACTCTATTACAGTCAGTGGTGTGTGGTTAATAGAACACAGGCATGTCTAATAGGTGTCGGGTGACTGGGGGAGGAGAGGGGAGGAGAGGGGGGGCAGTTCCTCCCAGACGTTGTGAGCACAGAGGACAAGACTGCCCCTGGCTGTGGAGCTGGATTTGAAAAATGTTTAATTCATCTGTTTTACCGCCTCAGAAGTGGCCTTTACTCTGAACACCATCTTACTGTAGGCCTGAGGTTTACGTAGTGTAGGGTGTCTCTCACCACTAGAGGGAGCCAGTGCCCTTTCAATGAGACACAAAACAAGACATTTTTCTAATACCAGAATACTACAGAAATAATTATCCCAATCGTATCTTGTCATGTGGCAAATTATTAATCAACTGCAACCATTTTTATCATGTGAGGTCTTTATTTATTCAAAATTAAATTCTAATCCTAAAGAATCCAGATCTTTGGTTACATCTTTGAAATGATGCCTCACCCCCCCCCCCCCCCTTCCCCCCCCCCCCCCCCCCCCCTCCCTCCAGCCAGCTGCCACGTCCTGTATGGAGAGCGTATAGGCCTCTTCTCCTCGACCCCCTCCATGGAGTCCCAGAAGTTCATCTGGGCCGTGGAGCAAATGCTGGCAACTACCCCGCCTCTGCTCTACCTGCCCCACCGCCTCCTCCTCCACATTGGCGCGCCCCTGTGGACCCAGCACGCCACTGCATGGGACCATATCTTCAGTCACGGTACGGAGAGCTGCGTTGATTGCTCCTCACCTCTGCACTCAGAGCTGATGTGACGCTCTAACTGTCGCTGCTTCATTAGCTCCGACTCCTCTTGACTCTTAATTGATGTTCTGTGCGTTTCACAGCCGAGGCCAGGATCCAGAGAGGGTACCAGCGCCTGTCATCGTTGCCGAGGAGTGTTTCGGAGGCCAGAGCAGCTGGTGGCCAGTACACTGGTGTTTTGGGCCAGCTGATGGAGAAAGGCCAGCTGTCTCTGGATCTCATCAAAGCCAACATCACTGAGCTGATGGCTGGAGGGGTTGACACTGTGTGTGTGTGTGTTTGTGTGTGTGTGTGATTGCCTTCCACCCGTCACTCTGTGTAAACCTCTAATCCCGTCTCGTCCACAGACGGCGGTGCCGCTGCAGTTCGCTCTGTTTGAGTTGGGCCGCAACCCACAGGTGCAGGAGGAGATTAGGCAGCAGGTGATGGCATCGTGGGCCAGCGCTGCTGGTGACCCTCAGAAAGCCCTGCAGGGGGCGCCTCTACTCAAGGGCACAATCAATGTGATTCTAAGGTACATTAACCCTTAGGCTTCAAACCAACCTTAACCTAATTTTAACTAGGTCTCCTTAACCTAACCAACTTATTTAACACGAATGTCACCTGACCAATCCCAGATATCAACTCAACTGGAATTAACTCATCGTTAATTGGGATAGATGCAACCTAAATTAATCTTAAACTAATTTAAACCAGCACTAACTCCTAATCTAATTCATTCCAAAACCAGCACTAACTCCTAATCTAATTCAGTCCAACCTAACCCTAACCCTAACCTTAACTAATCTAATTTAACCTCACCAACTTGACTTCTTTTCCAGACTTTATCCCGTTGGAATCACAGTGCAGCGGATGCCAGTCAAAGACATTGTTCTCCAGAATTACCACATACCTGCAGGGGTGAGATAACTGCCCCTCCTCCCCCCTTTACTTCCCCCTTGTCCTAAAAATAAAAGCATATCTTGATAATAAAGAGGACAATCTCTGCTCTCAGACGATGGTGCAGGCCTGTCTGTATCCACTGGGGAGGAGTTCCCAGGTGTTCCAGAATCCACACATCTTTGATCCACGTCGCTGGGGCAGCAGCAGCAGAGACGACGGACAAAAGGCCGAGGGGTCAGGGTTCCGCTCCCTGGCATTTGGGTTTGGAGCGAGGCAGTGCGTCGGGAGGAGGATTGCTGAGAACGAGATGCAGCTCTTCCTCATGCACGTGAGTTTCAGGAAATTCTACAGATTTGAATGTCAATACCAGTGACAGTGGCTCTTCCAAAAATAATAATAATATAATGTACCCAGTGTCCAACCTGTGACATTTCTGCTGTAAGGCAAGACTCCAAACCACTGCTTTTATGGTCTGTTCATCTGCAAGGATGTCAGCCTTTCTTCGTATTTTCCATTTTACAGTCAAAATGAAAAAAAAGGAGAATATGTTCAACTGTGACAGAAAAAAAAAGAGAACTGGCTCAGTAGGTGGCAGTAATGTGACATTTTCTAACCGTTTTGTTGCTTTTCTGCCACCTACTGGCTTTTCAGGATGTTATAGAAATGGATGATATTTAACGTGTTGTCTTAAATTTAAAAAAAAAAACTACACTTGTCGACATGTGTTGTGTATCCTGTGGCACGGAGAAAATGACAACGAAAGTAATGTGATTTTTGGTTTGTTTGACTCTTCAGATCCNTCGGTGTGACCTCCTCAGCGGACATCAAAACCAAATACACTCTCATCCTCCTGCCTGAGAGCCCCCCCAAGATCACCTTCAGAAAGCTTTGACACACACACACACACACACACACCACATGTTAAATCACCTGTCCATTATCCAGCCATATTCACCAACGCTGTGGTAAAAATCACTGACTCTTTTTCTCTTTACATTTAAAATTTTTAAATCACATTAATTATTCTTAAAAAATAAATCTCAATCGCCATTTCATCTCTAGTTGTCATTATTTACGCGTAGGCTTTCTCTGCATGCACAGCCCTCAATCCACCAGATGGCGCTATAATTTAGATTAATTAATTGATTTCCTCATGTTGTGACTGAGCCTCTTCACCAGTCACTTTCCTACTGGGCACCAACAGCTTCACCGTCTGCAGCAGATCTGGGGTCAGTGATAGTTTTTGTTATTACACATTGAATTAATTCCCGTCATATTGAACCACGCTGTTCTCCGATCTGTTTCTGTTTAAATTCAAATGTATTTAGTTCATTTCCACGGTGTTCTCTCCGACGCTGCTGCACAAACAAAACACAGTTTGTTTCTCTTTACATTTTTTTTTTCTCTCTTTAACTCACAGCACGGTCTCTTTATATTTATTTATATTTTTCTTTATATTTATTTATCTGCTCTTTTAAGTTCTGCTGATGAAGCTTGTTTATTCCGTTCTTATTATAGCCATTTTGTCCACATCACCCTGAGTGTCGTTGCCCTTTACTCTCTTTACATAAAGATGACCTTTGCCCCCCCCCGTGGTTATTAAGTGCCTCCTGTTGAATCACACGATTGCAGCGTGATTTCTGGGGCACCGAGCTGCAGGGTTACCTTTTTCAACTCAAATCACGATCAAAGGTCTGTTTGCCCTCTGGCTAACCATTTACATCCTGCCGACCCTGGTTGGTGTGTGTGTGTGTGTGTGTGTGTGTATGTGTGTGTGTAGCGGCACACGTTCTGCTTCAGTGTCTCCATCGTACTTCTCTGTGGAGTAATGTGAAGGATAGAACTGCAGTAAAGTGTCAGTAAGTATGCTCAGCCATACTGTACATCACGACGACTGTTTGTCGCAGAAGTATCAGTTTTGTGACGGTGAGGAAATAAATAAAGTAATAAATGAACTACAGAGTCATAAAAGTAATCCTCACAGGTCTTTTTATTGGCCCTCAGCAGGACTGGTATCTTTTCATCTGTATCTGATCTGAGTTCTGCTTGTTTTTCTGGTAAAAAAAAAAAAAAAAAAAAAAAAAATTTCCTGTTTTTTTTTTATAACCAGGGTCCCCAACCCCCGGTCCAGGGACCAGTGACAGTCCGTAAGTCATTTGGTACCAGGCTGCAGTGGGACACAGTGAAAAAATGTACTTTAGTTTTACTAATTTACTTCATTCATAAAGAATCCAGTCATATCCCTTTAGTTTTCTCATTCAAAGATAATCTGTCAGTGTTTTAAAACAGCAGGTCAAAGGTCATTCAGACTCTGATACTAGTCCCAAAAAAATTAGTGATGTAACACACAGTTACTGGTGCTGGTTACCATTAAAATAATGATTAAAATATTCAAAATAATCAGACTGATCAGTCCCACACAGGACTGAGTAGTACTGTGTGTACAGTTAGGTATTTCACCTGTAGTAACCTGTTATATTACACAACCGTGCAGTGTGATATTGTTGACATTGAGATTCTTTTATTGTTTTAGAAACCTGTTCACCGAGTCAGGTTCGTCAACCTCGGTAACTCACCGCAGTCACCTTTTCTTTACCAGCAGTGGATTTGCTCCATAGGCTGAGAGTGGGAGGAGAGATGAAACAGCAGGTCGTGGTGAGAGAGAGACAAAGAGAGAGAGAGAGAAAGAAAGAGAGAGAGAGAGAGTGGACGTGAGTGAAAAAGTCACCAGTGGACGAGTTTAGGAGAGTCAGCAGTGGAAGGACTGAACAGAGGTTGAGAACAAACTGAAGATGGGTAAGTCAACACTTCACAGTCAGTACACTGACACTGGGAGACGCAGTAGACCAGGAAAAACAGAACATATTTTCTACACACAAGTACACACCCAAATACTGCACTACAGTACAAAAACGGTATTCAGAGATGTTTCTGATGTTTGGTTGAATATATTTTACCACAGGTTTGGATAAAATATATAAATATGTAGTGGATCATCTACTACAGTTTCATGTCCTTTAATATCCTGTTTTAAAGCTAAGCTAATGCTATATAGCCTTCATTAATGTTTAGTAATTGACATTATGGACATATTTTGTATTTCTGTGAGTCAATATTTTTCTATAGTATTTTCATGTACACGAAGATGAAGCACAAGTTTTCCTAAGTTTTTTTTTCATAGTGTGGTTCTTCTGTCCTAGTTGACCGTAGGTGTGAGGCAGGAATGATTCTTATCTCAGTATCTGTCATGGCTGATGGACCCCCCCACCCTGTGTCCGTCCTCTGTAACTAGTGTGAGTTGTGTGGAAGTTGAATGAATGAAGTTGAGGTCAGGGAATGTCATTTGTCCATTTATTTCAATGGAGAATTTCAGCGTAACACAAAGCCTTCTTTCTCATCTGTCTTTCATATTTGTTCCTCCGTCTACTGCATTCTGACCACCAGGGGGAATTTTTCTCACGTGTCACCTTTACACCATGTGACTCCATTCATTTGTAGCACATGTCCAGTGCTAACACTTGTTATAAAAGCAACATAATTAACCAGGATAACGTAGCCTCAGACCAGTATCACTACTATTTCCCAGCATGCACTAGATAACTCTAAACTCTAAAGTCTTTAAACTCTAAAGGTATTTACAGAGGGTTGGACCAGAGTTTTTTTTTTTTTTTTTTTTTTTGTCCAGCAGCCATTTCTTTCTGACTGCTTGGTAGTTGCCATGGTTACGCCATTCAAACCCTCCCACACCCAACTAAAGGAGAAGGTGATCAGAGCACACAGTGGCTCATGACCATTTAAAGGTAAAGGCTCAAAAAAAAGATCACACTTAGGTCATTTTTGCTCATGTTACTAACACCTCATCAGACAAGGAACTGTATTTATTTGCATGAAAGCAGTGTAAAAAGTCCTTTAACTTCAGTGAAGTTAAATGTTGGTTTTCCTCCCTACATGTTGGTCAATGATCAAATCCACACACACAACAGAAAAACGTGGGCCACACGGCAGCACAGAGTTCTCTGATGTACAGTGGATACAGTACCATGTCAGGTCCTGTAGTCAGTGACGTTCTGTAACTTCTGTCTCTCTGACTCTATATTTAGATTCATGTTTCCTGCAGGTAAACACTTGTCTGTGTGTGTGTGCATGTGTGGCACCCTGAGAGGTGTTGGAGAAAAAGACCTCAGTGGGAGACGGGATGATTTGTGCAGCCGTGCAGCAGAACTGGGTCAGAGCAGAGAGACAGACAGAGAGACAGACAGAGAGGAAAAAAAAGAGAAAATCTGAAGACCAGAGCTGTGTTTGTTTTCACCACGCTGTGTCCTCAACATATTTCAATGCCTGGGAAGAACACAAACATTAGACATAGTGTTGTTTTACCACAGACTACAAACCAGGGCTGTCAGTTGATTAATCAGATGAATCATTCATTTAATCAACCATAACTAATCATGATTCATTTTAGGTAAATTATTATTCCTAAATATGAGAGATAAGACTGTATTCTGACGTCCGTTGATGCAGCAGTTTTACCGGTTTTACCCAGTTCCAGAGTAAACTGTCTCCATCGTGATAACACGCCTCAGTCGTGTTACGTTAAGCCAGCAGGTGGGGCACTGACAGGTTAGCTGTGTTTACTTTATTAAAATGGGTGGTTTTTGAAGTCTCTCAGTGAAAATGTGTTTCAGTTGTTGCCCAACATTCTTTTGAATCTTAATGAACATTACATGTGACAGTAATTACACGGCTGCCCCAGGAAGGGCTAATCTACCCCTCC